CTTTTTTTATGCCCGACTAATAACTATTCGATGACTATTTATTCGATCAGTCAGTGCAATGTGAGCTACCAAAACAAAACCTAATTGGTTTCAGGCTAAACAAGTAGTGTACATTGTATTAACTAACTAATTGGTTAACGTTAAAACGATACCATCACTGCGTATAGCTAACGTTGATAATTGTTTTTTACATGGATATAACGATTATTTGATGACCCATAATCGTACTCAATGATATGTGGCAATAGGGATATAACACATGCCTCATTGTTTCTAAATTCAATGGTCAATTTTTAGCCATATCAATTTTGAAACAAGCAACATATGTTGTATTATCATTGCCCATCTAAATTGAGTATGTAAATTATGTCAAACTTTATGTCACTCTAGCGTATTTTTCATTTTATTAACTGTGGGAGGATAAAATCCGATTTCGACTCATGGGCCAAGACCGAAGATCCAAGGAGAAAATGTTGTGCAAGATAAAAAGCACACAAGAAATATACGGATGGAAACGTGCCTGGATAACTACCCCACTACGGAGGAGAAGTGGGAGAGGAAGACAGGTCGTGGTACTTACCCAAAGCATGCAGTTATATGACGAACTACCACTAAGGGAGTGGGAAAGGAGGATTTGTCATGGTACTTGATCCTCAAGCATGCAATCTTATAAATAGGGATAGGAGCCAAAGAACAAGGGAGGTAAGGAAAACCCGAGACAATCTAGAGAAAAGGGAACTAATCGACTGACTTGAGCATCGGAGTATCTTTTGCAGGTACCCCGCCTGGGCAAGTTACAGAGGAAGACTATTCTGGGACACCTCAAAGAAGGATTCGGCGAATGTGAGGATTGCAGTCAACAAATCTGTGGAGGTATTTCTTCTTGTAGGAAATCTCGCTCCAACAGGAGGTATTTCTTCTTGTAGGAAATCTCGCTCCAACATTAACAAACATACAATGAAGTCACAACTAAATAACGAGTAATAAGTTTATTTATTTATTTTTAGATAGTCTTCTCGTCTACAACTTGTGTGCTTTTATAACATCATAAATATTTTAAGATGTCAATGCGAGAATTGAAGATTTCTGATTACGGAATTTTCTTCTGCTCTTGCGATTGTGTAGAAGAGTCTCTAAACATGAACTTTCTCACTCCTTCGCTAGAACAATAATATTTTTGACCGACACATTCACAATTACGGCCATCACAATCCTGAGGTTTTGTGCAGACACCCAGAAGCTGAAAATCATGTGCCTCGGCTCCAAGATTCACACCTACCACGAATATATTTTTTATTATTAAATCGGAAATATACATGCTATTATGCTATGTGTGCGGAAGAGTTGCAAGGATGAAAGAGAAAAGATACAAAAAAACATATGAGAAACAAAAGGATGAAAAAACAAAGGGAATTGCTGTTAGTATTCTAAAAATCTAATTTTACTTTCCAAATTTTCTATAATTAGAAAGAAAAGTAAACTTGTGTGAAGTGTAAAATGAGATTTTTTTTTAGTGCTAACAACTCTCAAAACAAAAATTAGTCAAGAAATATGGTACCAAGAGATGCAACAACCAACACCGTAATGGGAATGCTAACTTGATTGATTTCTCCATGGCAATTCAATTTGTTGATTACTAGAGGAAGATATTATGATTTTCAGATTGTGTATTGTGCTACAAAACTTATGAGAGTTCTTTTTCAATCCAAGATTATATATACCTAAAGTTAAAAATTGTATCAATAATTACGTACCACGATAGATTGTATTATTTAATATAAGAGATTTGCAAGCAATAAAATTTATGGAACTGTAATGGTAAAAAATATGGCCGAATTAAATTGCAAATCACATCCAAATACCAACCTTTTTCTTTTCCTTTTTTATTTTTATTTTTTATTTTTTATGTGAAAACAACAAACAAATAAAGAAACGAGAAAAAAACTTGGTTCATTTTTGGAATAAAAAGATTTTCTCATGGTCTACATCCATATCAAATCATGTGAAATCTCATTCCTGGATTTCACTGTTATAATCTACGTATTTGTATTATTGAGATTTTATCTTATTTTTCGAGAATTTATATTAATTTATTTGAATTTAGATTTTAATTAAACTAGTTACAAAGTTTAGAGTTTGGAAATTAATTATTTAAAATTCATAGACCTTTCGATGTCAAAATTTATATTTCGAATAGAACTCGATTTCACAAACGTGTAGGCGCAAACCGTTGGTGAAATGGAGTTATAATGAAAGAGTTATTAACGTTTGAAGTTAGGGATATTTTTGTACTTTTAGCTTGATCTAGAAGACTCCTAATTTTCTGGAGTCTGAGATGTGCCACGTGTGTGGCTAGGATGAAAGGAAGAGAAGAGATGGACGGTTGTGATGGAAAGGACAGAAAAGAAATGAGGGAAATGAGGGGGAAGGAGGGCCAATCATAAGAGAATGGAGGGAGGGGAAATGAGGGAGAAGGGAAGGAGATGATTACTTCAAAAGTTTTTCCCTTTTTGCCGACCCGACCCGATCGACAAAAACCAGGGTTTTCGATGCTTTTGAGGCCTATTTCCGACAAATACGCCGAGAAGCCACCTGGGAAATACCCCAATACCTTCATTCTCCCAATTCCACCCAAAAATTGGAGAATTCGGCTTTGATTTTGCAAAACCACACTGGAGGTTGCGACGGCACGGTGGCTCCAATCCACCATTTTTGAAACATTCTCTTCCAATTACCATCACCACTAAACTCCCCTAGAGGCTTGGAACAAAACCTAAACAACTATAGGTATGACGGAGCACCGAAGGTGATGGATTGAAACCACCCAAAACAAGGGTTTCCAGTTGGTTCCAGGTAAATTAGAGCCTTTCCCCGGCCAAATTGGCCTTGGCCACATGTATGAAACTTGCTATACTCATTGAGATCTACATTTCTGTGAAATTTAGTAATTTTTGGAGTTAGTCGGAAAATTGGATTTCCGTTCGCCTGAAACCGCCACCCAGGTGGCGCGTGGCCAGTGGGCCGACAATGAATTTCTAAGTTCAATTAGATGTCCTGAGTTTGTATTTGATATTTGTATGACGTGGTTTGATCATTTGAACCTAATTTCACTATGATGCTTTACTTGATCAAAATATGAATCGACGATCCGACCATTGGATCGTCACCAAAATTTAATACGTTATAATACGTAATATTTGAGGATGTTAGAAACTGATGGATCGGTAATCTAACGTATGGATCTTCCTGAATTGGATTTCTAAGTTAGTAAAACAAATTGTTGACCGCCACCTAATTATAGCAATTGGCAGAAATCCGACAATCGGATCACCATGAGATTTTAGTAGGTTGTTCTAGAAGGATAATGTGGATTTTAGAAGGTTACGGATCCAAAATCCAATGTGCGGATCTTCTGGATCGAATTACGTAGGGTTGTGGACCCTATCGTTGACCGAGAGTTGACTTTTGGTCAACATGTCTCGAAACATTCTAAATACTAAATTTAGTACTACAGAATACTATGTGAAGTCTAGTGAGCCTATATTGATTAGAAAATGACTTGAACATATGTGATATGATTATTACCTCGACATCTTATATCAATATCATTTATGAATATGACTTGGTTTTATAAATGTGATTTTTGTTGAAATGTGATGTTTATATATTTAGCCATAGACGAATGGTTATTAAACATGATTTGGCTTGTGTACTGATGATGATTATGATATGTGACTTGACGTGCATATTTGAAATGTGGCTGATTTGCATAGTTGGTATGATATGATGAAATGTGAGGGCTAGTAGTGGACTGTTAACCCATTGTCATAGGGTTTGTTATTTCTGGACTTGTTTCACATATCGTATCATTGTTCCATTTCTTGTTTCGTTGAACTTTTGTATTTTGAGCACTTGATTCACGTTTGGTTTCTTCGAGCCCCTGATATGTTCCTTGGTCCTCCGCGCCCTCCGCTCGGTTTCATTGAGTGATCAGGAACTGAGTATCCGCTGGGTTCCATTAAGTCGTCCGGTTTCGTGCTCCGTCTGGATTCCATTGAGAGGTCCAGAATCCCTCGTGATCTGCGATTCCATTGAGTGGTTCGGAATCGTATCCACTTGGATTTCGTTGAGAGGTCTGGAATCCCTTCTACTCCACGGTTCCGTTGAGTGGTCCGGAATCATATCCTAGTTTGGATTTCGTTGAGTGGTTCGGAATCCCCTTTGGTGTCTTGGTTCCATTAAGTGGTCTGGAACTCAATGTTGATGGATTTCGTTGAGTGGTTCGAAATCGCATCATTTGACTCATTGGTTCCCTGGATTGGTTCATTTGAGACAGCTTCTGAGATGTAGGCTTCGACTGAACTGTGTTGCTCTAGCCCTGCATTTCGGTGTGTGGTATGTGTTATTGATGGATGTGATTGTGGAATGATGTTGGTTGTGATTGTTGTCATTATAATTAGACTCGTTAACCAATATGGCTAGAGATTTACTGTTGTGCTTCGTCGAATGTTGCTTGAGATATTGCCTGCTTGAGTTCTGATATTATGTTGACACATACTGATATATGTGATGATTGTTCGAGAGTAGTAAATGACGAACTTCGAATGTGTTGATTCCTGTTTAGAGTATGTAGGCAATCTAACGATAAGGTTAGATTGAGCCATAAAGTTTACGAAAAATCACTATGCAAATGGAGTCATGAGTTGTGCTTGGTACATATCTCGGAGGCGGGGTATATTAGGTATACGAGTATTTGATGTTGTCACGTGTCGTTCCTGGACGTATGTCGGGATCGAGGCGTGACAAATCAAACCAGATATTCTTATATAATTTATCATTTTAAAGTTAATTATTTGCCTTTTTAAATGAAGATAAAATATTTTTTTTTGTCATACCAATAAAAATATGACATTAATTGATGTAGCATAATTTAACGCAGTAATGCTATCTTTTAATAAGAAGTTTAATACCAACTATTAATCATCACTTATCTCTCCTAATAAATAGCAATTTAACTCACTTACGCTAATCTTTTATAAAAAATTAATACTAATTCGATTGTCATCATTCATTAATAAACCTACCCACATGTATACGGGGTCTCACATAAATATGATAAATAAATGCATCAAGAGAAGTAGAATCCCAGTATTTAGCAGCTCGAACAATAGGTCTCCAGATGAGCTGTTCCCATTCGGATATCTCCCATGTAAAGCTACAGAAACATTTACAGGCAACGAGCCTGAAAAGAGAATTTGAAACGATTTATTTCATTAGTATCGATATTTTTCCAAATTAAGGTTCATGGGAAATGAGAAAAAGAAAAGAGTTTATGATCTTACAATTGTAGTCTGCCCATCCCAACCGCTGACGGCCTATATCATATACCACAATTTTGTCCTTTAAAACATGATCTGCAATCGAAGACACACATATTTCAAAACAAGTATATCACAAGGATTAACTGTAGCATTCATGCAGTAAATTGTAACTTACAAACACCATCAACACATGGGACAACTATATGAAGCCAAAACAAAAAGAGGCAGCAAATCCTAACCCCTCTCTCCAACTAGCAAAAGAACACAACGTGCACCATTCTCTCCATGATGAGTAAGAGTTCTATTTGTTTCTATAGATTTTTTTTTGTGCCTAAACCTTTAGGAAATACTGAGCATATCTATTTGTTTCTAAATAATTTTTTGTGCGCTAAACCTTGGATATAATTTTTGGGGTTTTTGTCTGTGATATGACACGTTTATTTAGTTCTATGTGTGAATTTTAGCAAATTATGGGGTCGTAGCACATCAATACACACTTTGAAGCTTATTGATGTGGCTTTTGGTATGAATCTGTTCGACACTTTACTGTTCAGGCTGAAAAATATGAGGGAGAAGAGCATTAAAATAGGAGCAAAATCATCAAAGCAAAATTGAATGAATAGTATTTTTATTACCTTTTAGTATATATAATTTCACGTTTCATGTTCATTCTCTTTCTTTCTTTTATGGCAATAGAAGTAATTTAAAAGTACTTGTTGGAACTTGTTTATAAAAGTTTGTGTTGTGAATTCATTGAGTTACAGAGTGATTGAAACATGGTAACTCTCCTACATGAGAACACTATGGTTCTCTGTGTTTGTGACACTCACAAGCACAGAAATCCATCCTATGCTCGAACAAGTTTTAGTCGGATGACCATTTTAACTCCGTTGACAGTGTTCTTGTTCATCATGCTCTTTGAGGTGTTGGCTTTGTTTCTAAGACCATGGAACTCTTATTTCATACATATGATCGTGCTTGGATATCTGATAAATAATATATGGTATAGCGCTCAGGGAGAGCTATAATTGTTGGGGTAGCTGTTAACTCGCAGACTACATGTCTTTGTTGTTTCTTTGTTGGGAAGCAGACTTCTTGGTTAGGAATCCAGTTAAATTTGACTTGTACGTTCTCATAAGGAAGCCTAAATATGCATCCTCATCTGCTAGAAGCTTAAATATGCATCCATAGCCTTTTGGATCCCTTGTAGTCCTGATACGTAATCAAGTTAAATTTGTCGTGGACTTGCTTGTTTTACTGTAAGCAATATGTTTAAAGTCTGTATTCTGATTTTAAGACAATCATGGTGATACTGAGTTTATTTACTGGTCATTCAGGTCTCTTTTTAACATGTTCTTGTAAATTGGTGCTTGTACGTATCGAGCAATGGTCTCTTGATATAATGTTATAGTTTGAAGAAAACTACATGCTCCTTGAAAATTTTATTTTTTCTGCTTAGAAATGATTTATCATATATGTTGGCAGTTCAGGCATTGGATTTTGGATGCTCGGTTCTAATGAGTACTGAATTAGTTCGTTTGTTGGCATAAGTTCTATACTTCATTGTTATATCATGTAACTTATATGATCACAAATAGTATTGTACTACCGTTGTAGGGAACCTTATATTTGTTATACAATATCTATGTATTGCAGAATGCTTCTCTCTGAAGATTTTACTTAGATGTGTTGTTTTTACTCTTAAAACGGTGTGGAGAGATGTATTAAATTGAAAATCCATACAGGAGCATTATAATAACATGTATAACATTCTTTCGAGAACTAACCTCCTAAAACTGTGAACCCACGGTTCACTCCCTCAGATTGTTGTAGACCAAAGCACCACTTAACAGAACCATTATGTGACAAAAGAATGCACTTATTAATTCCATACATTTTCCCACAGTATTACTTCCACTCGAAATAAGATATTTTTACAAAATAAGCCAGAGCCTGGAAGAAAACTTACCTGATCAGGTCCCTTATACAAAAGGTAGTCTTCTGGTTTTAAAACCATAGATGCACCAGCAGCAAAATTAAGACTCAACAGAGGAAATGCCTCGGCCACACTAAAAAGTAGACAATATCATTCATTTCAGAGTCCTTTGAGAGAGAGAGAGAGAGAGAGTGAAAGAGAGAGAGAGAGAGAGAGAGAGAACCTGGTGTAAACTAGATAGCACTGCTTTCCTGATGGTGAAAGGAAGGGACTCACATACTTTGAAGACAAAGTTATCTACACAGACAAACCAATATCAGTTTTTACTAAGGATATGAATTTAACTATACGTTCCTCCCACACTATATAAATTTAACTATAAGGGAGCTTGAACTCAAAAGTCAAATAGAATGCAAACTTACAGCATGAACAAGCGGATCATAGGCCTCTTCCGCAACATATCCAATAGAGGTTCCCGTGTCAACCACTGTTGCTCGGTCAAGTGATGGTGTGAACGCTGCTGGATCAATGGGCAAGATTTGACCATTGATTGAAATGGTTTCAAGATTAATTTGATAAAAGGGGTGCCTGAAAATAATAATTAGCAACTAGTTATTACACTAACTGGAAAGCTATGTCTTTCTACTAGTCCTTATAAACATAGGATATGTAGTTAGGTTTGGAACCGTAGGAATTAGCACCATACAATAATCTTAGACTAACATAGTAAGTCTGTTAGCCTCTATCAACCATTCAAGTCAGTTTCTCTTGAATTCTAAACTCTATTTAAGAAAAAATCTTTGTAAATCTCATTGTTAATTGCTAGTGTTACTATTGATATTTCAGTATTCTGTTAGAATACATATAAGTCTGATTGTTCTACTGTTAGACTAAGTCAGACTTCCCACAACCTTCATTTCACAGACTTCTGGGTCATCAAGGAAGTCAGTATATTACACTACTCCTGCAAGCTAAGGCTCAACCAAACCACTCAACTACTTAATGGACAAACAAACCCAACTAATTGACATGTAGTGACAAGAAGACAAGTGGATTATCAACAGATGATTCATAAATCAAACTTCCTATCCAAAAATTTTCAATTAAATAAAATAAATGTTAAGGGGAGAGACGTACACTGACGGGATAAGAGGGGTATAAACGATATTTGGCTCTAAAATCTCACCAAGAACGAGTATACCACCTCCATTGTCATCTCCCTTCAAACAATGGGAGAACACATTGGCAGTTGTCCCTCGAGAGGACAACTGTGATATAACTGACATTAGCCCTTGGCCGAATCCAAATACTCCGTTGATTGAAGCTGTAGTCCCCTCCAAAAGCCCAGTCACAGAGGTGCTACACCTGTTTCCAACCCATATGATCACCAAACCAATAATAGTTTAGCTTCAATGAAACAATAAACAACATGAAAAAAATTTCTCTATCTGTTTTTTTCTCTTAATGTTGATTATTAGAAAAGAAAGGTTAAAATAGCTCACCCGAAAACAATGGCAGCTGAAGACTCAATTTTAACATGAGACTGAACCGGTATCATGTCAAAATGTAATTCATCTGACATGTAATACCCGGCTATCTCATCTCCACCTGAATATCTTAGATTATACCTGCACTGTTTTGTCGGGTGTGAGCATTTGGTCTCTAAAGAAGCTTTGCACAACTTGTCGGAACAAGGAACTGGCCGAGCGGTGGATGAGTTGGCCGGGTCGTAGAAATTGAACGAAAGCTGTAACATGCATAGATTATTTAGGATAATTATCATAGAATTTTGAGTAGATCAGCATGGCATACAACGTTTAGTATGCTTGATGTTTGAATAAAAGTATGATATGAATGTTCTGTTTCTACTACTCTAACGACTATTATTCAAAAGACCTAGACCGACTAGATTGGAGTTCGAGTGGGCCAAGACTTGGGACTTTGGCCCAATGAACCGTGGATCTTAAGTTCTTAACACAGCACTGCTGCCAAGGGAACTGGAAATCTTTTTCCTCACCAAATATGACACCACTACGGTTGTTTTTTTTTGTTGGGGGGGGGGGGGGGGTGGATGGGGTGGGAACACAGTCGTGTAACCTAATGTTTACTTTTGCACACAACGAAAAATTGAATTCCTCTAGTATAAAAATTTGTTTAGTTGGATCATTGTCACTAAAATTTAATCAAAGAAAGTCAAATCTGCTAAGAAATGAGCAAAAACTTACTCCACCGAGCTCAGTATGCTGAGGACAAACTTTGCATGACGAGCATGAAACCCACAACACATTGCTCCCTGTGTCGATCGCCACATAGAATTCTCTTGGTGGAGAGCCAAGTTTCACTTTTGTCAAGTAAACCCTAGTGATTTCATGCAAGAACAGAAAATGAACAAAAGTTATTCAAGTTTTTATAGCATTAACTATTCAATCTTACCAAGACACTAAAATAGAGGAGTGATGAAAGAAAAAATGAATACAAAGAAACCTCAGAATCATTAACCAAATATAGTGAACTTTGCAACAAAAGATTATATCGGCTGCATTATATAGGAGATTGTGCAAGCTTTAAATTAAGTAAATGACAAACACCCATCGTTTAAGAAATTAAATCAAAATAAAAACCTTCCCAACCAATGCCGGCTAAAGCAAAAAAATTGCAAATTCAACGGAAATTAAGACAGTTATAACAAACAAAAACTTACTTGGAAAAAAAAAATCGGTATCAAAACTTGGGGTCAAGAAAAGAGTTCTTGCTATTTTTTCAGGTAAGAAAGATTCAATTTATTTAATTTAAAAGCCTAAAGTTATACGAGATTAAATAGTTACCCAACATGTTCAGGACTGTAGAAATCCTCATATACCACTGACACGTTGGCTATACCACCCACAACTCTTTTAAAGAGGTGGGCCTGCCTGATTCGGTCACGAGTTTGGAGCTCGTCAAGTCCGATATAGTGACTCCTAGGAAACGCTCTCTCTAGTGAGAAAACGTTACCATGGGCACAGAAGGGCGAAATAAGGACGGCGAGATAGGCCACAAATATGTGAGCAGCCCCCATCGTAGTATGAAATATCCTGCCATGCAAAGAAAGAATATCAGTGAATATCACAAAACCATCATCACAATCAACACTGTTGGGTGCATGCTCATGGATATCATCTTAATACATGATACATGCAAATAATTTCATATTAGCATCTTTCTGCTTTCCTTATTTCCCACATGCAAATAATTTCATCTACGTAAACCAGAACATAATTAACTGGTGCCACAGAGCAAGAATTGAAGTAAGATCGTCTTGTTCGACACTCAGCTATTGAATAAAATTATACCCAACAAACTAATATAGCATCAGGAAGACTTAAATCTGTGAGAAAGGTGCCTAATTTCCAAAACCAGGGCCACGAGCTATCAAGATTAATTTTTTAAGAAAAGCGCCTCTCTCAAATGTTTGAAGGACTTCAACAGCCAGACAAGGTACGTGCCAGTAAAATTCACCTGCTTTTAGCCTTTACCTAAAACAAATTTGTAAAAATACTACAATTCAATTTCCCTGAAACAAAATTAAAGTGAAAAAATAAGAAAATTGAAATAAAAAAGTCCATAGGGGGAGGCGTTTAGACCTGACAGGCTGAGGGAGAGAGTATCGAATCGAACGTGGACAACAATGGGCTGGGTCTGGGTCTGCACTCTGCAGCGTCTGAAGGTCTGATTGGCACAACTGGGCTGAATCTGGGAGCCTGGTGGTGGACGCAGGACGCCGGATGGTGCAGTGCAGCGGCTGCAGAAGTGCAGCCTGAAGCGAGTAGGTCAGAACCTCAGAGGTTTGTCTGTGAGTCTGTGACTGAAATTGCTTCGAAATCAGTCGTTCACTCTTTCTGGGGGTGAGAAGTTGCTTCAAAATTCTGGGAAATTGCTTAAAAATCAGTTCTTCACTCGTCCTTAAAGAATTGATGTACGATCGCTTAATTAATTGAAGGCTTCATACTTGGAACCCGGTCCTTGAAATCTGGAAATATGGAATAGGTATTAAAGATCGAAGAAAATCGAAGCGTTGAAGACGAAATAATGCATCTAATATCTGGACAATGGTAGATTATCTTTGAGGAAATGGCTGTCAGAGAGAGAGCATGAGAAAAGAAAAGCCCGGGAAAGTTTCTTATTTTAACTGGTCCTTGTATATTGTAGCTTTATGTTTATGGGTGCATAAAGTGGAAATTTTTCTCCTGCAGCAAGCGCAATTGCAAGTCCTCAGCCTTGAAGAGCTTAATATGTGGATTGTATTGGAGCTAGCCTTTTAACTTTTAAGCCCAAACTTGAGAAGGGTCACTACTTTTGGGTTCCATTAATTGTTTTCCAGAAATGTCAATTGAAGCTTTTAAGCTTCTTTCGTTAACCCTGAATAGAAATAGGCCTCCTCCTCTCTCCAAGCCCTATGGGCTGGTGTTGTGGTCCTCTGCCGACTTTTACCACATGTTACGTATGTTCCCAGTGTACTCAACGCCATGGATTTCCCATTTCTCTTTGATTGATTTGCATGACAAGTTAGAAGCAACTCAACTCTTGAAATGAGAAAGGAAAAGCCCTGGAAAAGAAGTAACTTTGTGTTTGTGCTTAATTCCCCAACTGCTTCTTTGAGCTTTTGAGCTTCTTTAACATCTTTTACCCTAATTCAAAGATGCATCTTAAAACTCTCATATCTCTTTGATTTTTGCTTTTGTCTTTTAAGGAGCCTATTAAGATGCGGGGCTAAACTAATTTGTGGTCATTTCTCTTCATTTGGCACATGCTTTAGCATTCTTTGCCAGACGAAGATAAACTTAAATCCTAATTTGTGAATTGCTGAGAATATGAACCTTGCAAATGAGAATGAATTGAGTTTGCAATTGCTTGTAAGTAGTTTGGTTACTTACCATGTTAAAACATCATTAAAACAACATTTGCTTTTTAAATATAACAAAAGTTTTGCCGACAAAGTACTTCCATAAAATAGGGGACTCAAAGGTATTCTGGGGTTAGAGGACAAGCCCTCAATAGAAGCCTGCTCCATGAGTCAGCCTGGCATGGTGCATCAACATAAAGCTAATGCCAACATCTCTTATATATAATAAAGAATTAAAACGATTCAAATTTCCAATTTAACTTTTATTTTGAAACATAAAATTGTAATACTTCGTTTTTTAGCGTATTTTTGTTGATATGCATGCACGCAAAACGTAAAACTTTTATTATTTATTCAAATAGTCCTCACCCTCACATGTGTACCTTGTGTGCTTTAAGGGTGCGTTTGGTACGTGGGACGGGACGGGACGGAACGGAACGAGGCGTTCCGTCCCGCGTTTGGTGCGCCAAAAATGGGTGGAACGGGCTGTTCCACGGGACAGATTTTGGGTGTTTTTGCGTTCCACCTCCCCCCCTGGAACGGGTTTGTTCCACGTCCGTGGAACACAATGTTTTACCATTTTAAGACAAATATACCCCATGTCTTTTTCAAAAATTACACCTTCATTCCGTCCCGTCCCGTCCCGTTCTGTCCCGTCCCGTCCCGTTCCGTCCCGTCCCGTCCCGTCCCGTCTGCGTACCAAACGCACCCTAATAGGCCAGCACAAATAGTTCAAGAGTCTAATGAGAGAATTAAAGACTTGTGATTATAGGGAACGAAACTATTTCGAGTATGCAGATGAGGGTTCAGACATTAGTATCTCCACTTCCCTGGGACAAACACACAGACCAGCCGCGTTGCATTTACGTATGGCGAGGTTATCACAATCCTTAGGTGTTGTGCAGATACCAGGTTGCCAAAGGTTCACGGCTTCGCCTTCACATTGTACACCTACCACAATATTTCCTTGATTATTAATTAGAAATAGAAAAGGTTATCAGGGAAATATGATAGAAATATTCAAGCGAATATTTTACTTGTAGAGACCAATAAAATAACAAGCAAAATCAGGTTGAGCGAAACTTTTTCCTTATGTATATGCATATTACGTACACACATATATATATATATATATGCATATTACGTACCTATGTATGTACTAAAACTTATGTACCGATACATTCGTGCTGAAATTTATGTACCGATGCATTCGTACCGAAACGTATGTACTGATGCATTCGTACCGAAAGTTATGTACCGATACATTCGTACCGAAACTTATGCACCGATGCATTCGTACCGAAACTTATATTCTGAAGCAATTGTACCGAAATTTATATTTTGAAGCAATCGTACCGAAACTTGGGTACCAATTTTTGTACTAAAACATAGATACCGATTTTTGTACTGAAACTTATGTACCGATACATTCGTACTGAAGCATATGTACTAATACATTCGTACTAAAACTTATGTACCAATGCATTCGTACCGAAATTTATATATCGATTCAATTGTACCGCTACATTCGTACGGAATTGTAATGGTTTCTCTTGTTCATCTAGGTCACTGTTGATCAAGAAAGTTGGAATGTATTTGACGATATGCATGCAGGAGATAAAAAAGAGATGGGGAGTTTTCTTATGAAGTGGAGTGGTATAAATTATAGATAATCTTGTGTTCATATGGAGGTACCTAATTATTTTTTCATTTATGATTAATGTATATCAACCATACAAACCGTTTATTTTCTTTATTATCATGTAACTAAAGATTATATTTGTAAAAGATTATTATTATATTTGTAAAAGATTATTCAACTTGTTTATCTTCTTTATCATCATGTAACTAAAGATTATATTTGTAAAAAATTATTCAACTTAAGATCATTAAACATCCAAGAAAAGTTATTTGTACCAATTTTTCAATGCGTGCTTTTGAGATCTGACTAACAATGTTTGATACGCGAAAAACGACAAACAATAAAAGTAAAGCTCAATCTTCAAGATTCAAATTACGCTGGAATCTCTCCGCAATTATCACTGGATTAGACATCGCTCGGAGCAGCAGCTGCCACCGCACCATAAGTACATCAAAAGTGAATAATAATATTTGTGCGAAATATTTTATCAACAGATTCAATCAATAAAGCAACGAGTAAGCAAGATTGAGCGAACCTTTACTCTTTTTTTTTCTTTTCAATTTATTAATATCTAGAGCTATTCTTAAATACACTGTAAAATCTCTCTATTTTGCTTGAAAATCTTTCACTTTAAAAATCATTTAAAATCACCACTTAATACTATCGCCTTTAAAATCCTAATTAATACATCTTTTAATTTAAAAATCATTTACTTTTTTCTATGCAGTTGCAGCGGACTATCACCTCCTGGCTTCCATCTGGACTGGAGACTCTAGATTTGCATTATAATTCCTTTCGGTAGTTGGCATTAGTTACTTTTTTAAAGCATAGAGGGGCTAGCAAGCAAGAAACAGAAATTAAAGTACTTATGTTTAAAATTGGTTTTCTCGATCCATCTTCGAACGTTTTTTTACCAGAAATGTGGTTTAGGGTTTCCAGTCTGGTCTGTTGAGCTAGTTAGCTTTTTATTAAAGACCCTTCCAAAAATAAACCCCACAAAGCAAGGCTGAAAGGCATAAACACCGCTCGATCATGAAATTAAGAACGCAATTAAGTTTTGAATTGAAAACAACGAAATTAATATCGGGACAAAAATAGATTACGGTAGTTGTGTGCTTGTTGCTTTTTGTATATATGGGAAGATTCTTATTTATTCTTCCCTCAGCCTTGAAGAGCTTAGTAAATGGATTGGATTGGAGAGCTAGCTTTTAGCCCAAATTTGAGAAGGGTCTCTAATTTTGGGGTCCATTATTTTCCAGAATTGTTAATTGAAGCTTTGAAGCTTCTTTTGTTAATCCTAAACAGAAACAGGCCTTCTCCTCTCTGCTAGTAGTAGTACACACGTATTATATAAAGGGGGAACTCATTTGAATGGGGGCCTATATGTATTGTGGTCTTGTACCTACTCTTTGAGTTTTTGTTTGCCTTTTCGGCTTTTAAGGTTGACGACATTTTCTGGTGTTCCTACCACCCTTCCCTTTCCCTCCAGTTAAAAACTGAAAGCTTACTATAGTCCACAGTCACTCCCTCCCCT